TAGCGAGTCAGGCTGTTTTGTTGTATGACGTGTGATTGTGCTGTTCTTTGGCCCCAGGATGATTTGAACCTCAGTGGCTACAGGAAACATCTGACCTCGCAGACTGCTCCTTTGCCTCTCACTGCTGCAGAGGAGGAACTGAGACAGATCAAGCTAAGTGAGGTAAACACAGACACACAAACACAGACAAATGATTTGGATTTCATGTTCTGGTCACCACTTAAATTTAAGATCATCTTAGGGGAAATAAAACACTGCACATGATACGGCTACACAGAAACTACCACCTGTTGACAAATTTCTCTGGTTTGAAATGCTCTGAAGTAACTGTAGATGTAGATTAGGCTCTGTTTCAGTTCTGAAAAGAGACGATACTACGTCATCCTTACTCTCGAGGCTCTAGTAGAAGAGGAAAAAATAGCTTAGATCAGCTTGCAGCATGCTTCCTCCTTATCACATCTCCTGTGTGCGAGATGTAAATCCCACCAGAAGCAGTGCGGGGTATCAATGAAGGCCAGCGATGCAGCCTTCCAAACAGCACAAGGTCAGCAGCAGTGCAAGTGTGCATATGCTTGCCTGGCAGTATCAACACAGTGCAGAGATGCTGATGCATTAGAACAGCAGGATGTTGGCAGAGATGAATCTATTAGGCTTGTACAGCTCTTACCCGTGGCTCCATAAGAAGGATTGTTTACAGTCGTAAATCTCGTCTAGCCCGATCAACAAATTGGCTAAAGAAAAGCTTTTTGTTAGTGTTCCTATCTAAGATTTCAATGTTCAGCGCTACATGCAGATGGGAGCGGTGAGAGTGCTTGGCACTGATTCTGCATGGGGCACAACTTAGCTTTATTTCTGTGCTTTGCCTTTTGTTGTGATAAGAAAAAGAAAAGCTGTAAAGTGATACCCGCTGCACGCTGCTAATGTTGTCAGCAGTGTTTACGCTGCTCATGCAGGGAGCTTTAGGGCACTGCCAGACAGAGTGCACCAGACAGAAATTTTTAAAAGCTGCATTTGAAGGCTTCCCTCCTCTGACTTTATAAAGCACTCCTACAAATTAACCCAAATAAACTCTTCTTTTTTTTTGAGAAACAGCCTTTTTCTAATTGCAGCTCTTCCAGCCCGCCACATAAACAAGAACTGCCTTTCTTACCATTTATGGAAGTGCTTTGAGCAGCGCAGTCCCTCACCAAAGTATGGTCAATTAAAAGCAGCAGCGCAACCGGGAAGTGAGGCCTGTGCTCGTCCCTCTTGACCAGCTGTTGAGGGAAGATAATATACCATTAATCTGTACTGCCTGGATGAAAAAGAGGCTTTGAAATATTTATCATTACCATGCCTTGGAGACTGCCCGCCTTTTACTAAGCAGATGGATAAAAGACCCACAATCCTTTTTGGTATGCGAGGTAGCTACATCGGAAGCTCAATCATGTTTGCACGGCATTTCATTTTGTGGGAACAGGCCTCTAAAAATAGATGCAATCCATCAGTGTAATCCTTCCAGCATTTCCAGTTTTCTGTGTGATTTCGTGGAGGCGCCTTGTCACTTCCGATACAAGCACCTCATCTGTAATCATCATGTTCCAGCATTCAAGCTGTTTGTTGCTCTTGTAAACCTTTTTATTTCCAGATGACTGAAATGAAGAATATCGATTCTGTTTCGCTCAATTCAAAAACTATCAGACAGCAAAATCATCAGTGGAAATCTGTCGACACTCTGACAAGAGATTGCATTGATTTGTCCCCTCATGATTGAATTTAAACACCAGAGTTTGTTCTCTGTGTGTGTGTGTGTGTGTGTGTGTGTGTGTGTGTGTGTGTCTGTGTGTTGTGATGTCTGGAAAGGGTGGTCCTAAAGAGGTAGGCATTAATTGGGGGTCTAAAGAAGATAGGAAATACAAGAGAGTGTGTGTGTGTAGGAATATGTTAGAAACTGCTTCCTTACTACAAAGCATGGGTTGTCTTTGTAGATTCGGTAATTTGTTTGGGTGTTTGAGCATGTTTCTGCATACATGTGCATATTAATATATGTTAAATGTTGAAGGCACATTGTTATTGTCGTATTATAGAAGTAATGCACTGATCACTTTATTTAAAGGTCTCATTAGCATAATTGCTTTTGCTTAACGAAGTGTATTACAGTGATCACAGTGATGACAGTGAGACAGTAGAAACCTAAAGTGTCTGTGTTTGCGTGTGTCCCTGTGTTTGCGATGCGTTCAGGTGCAAACAGACATAAGTGTGGACACCAAGCAGCAGACTCTGCAGGGAGTGGCCTTCCCCATTCACCAAGACGGTGTTGCAGCACTCGAACGTTTTAGGGACAAGAAAATCAACTATGTCCAGCTGGTGAGTTCTAGTAGTAATTTAAATGTGCAAATCGGTTCTTTTATCTGATCTTGTTTAGAGAAGTGGAGATGTTTTTGATCAGGAGTTGTTTCTAGATTGATACAATGAGTTACTCATGTTGCCCAAAAAGCCTTTGTGTCTCCTCATTGAAATTCAGAGGGTTCATGTCACAAGATCGGATCAGTTCAAAGTACAAAGGAATAATTGTGGCCACTGTTGCGGCCTCCTCAGTTCCCCCTTTGTTTGTTAGTCTAAAAGCCTTGCAGAGAAGCAATTTGTTTTGTTCTGTTTATCCATTGAAGTGCTACTCCTGGCTGCTGAGCGGCACGCTAACAACTGTTGAGCAAACGTTTCACTCAAACACACCTGAGAAAGGTGGAGGCAGTTTGTTATTTGGTGCCCCCACATAGATTTTCCGAATTGGTCTGGCATTTAAAGCAGGGACTTTGGTTCAAGCACCCTCTGCCTACGCTGAGAGTAACTTTTCATAACTTGTGTGAACAGCTAGTAGATCAAGAACAAGAGCTGATTCGGCTGTGCAGCACTGAGCCAACAGAGGTGAAAGACCTGCCAACGAGAATCCCTAAAGATTCTGCACGTTACCACTTCTTCCTCTACAAACATTCCCACGAGGGCGACTACTTGGAGTCAACAGGTGAATAGTTTCTCACACGTCTTTATAAAAGCTGATAAAACCCACAGTTTTTGTGTACTTTTACATTGCTTTGAACGGTACGTCATGTTTGCTCATTTAATTTTCCTCTTTGTTTCCTTTGTAGTCTTCATTTATTCTATGCCAGGGTACAACTGTAGCATCCGAGAGAGGATGCTGTATTCCAGTTGCAAAAATCCCCTGGTTGACATGGTGGAAAACAAACTCCAGATTGAGATTGAGAAAAAGGTAGGAAACCAGCTAGAAACACGACAATGCTCAGTGCGTCTTCTCGGAAACTGTAGCTGAGACAGGTGCCTCTCACCTTGAGGATAGCAAAGTTCCTGGGTCGGAAAAAGGAGATGAATTTGCAGCATTTTATTGTGCTAACAGATAAAAAAAAAACAAAAAAAACTACCTGTTGTGATGAAAAATTGTAGTGAAGAGCATAAAACTCTTTGTTTTTAGTGAGTTCATCTTACTTTAAAGTGGTGAGAAAAGCACAGACAAAAAACAGAAACCTCTTATTTGACATCATGACTTTTCTGAAGCTGACTGAGAAAAGAGGTCTTCAGGACCTTTTTTGGGGAATCTATTTCAAGTCAATTCATTTTGTGTATTGTGCATCACACAGAATTTGAAATGGTATTTCAAACTAATTTGCATGAACAAGGTAAACCCTTAATTATCTAAAAATAAGATTAAAAAAAGCAGGAGTTAAACTACATGCAACAGTCCGTTACATCTGCTCCTATTTTTTTTTTTTCCTGTTTCCCAGTTGGAAATTGACAACGGGGATGAACTGACGAGTGATTTCCTGTATGAGGAGGTGCATCCCAAGCAGCATGCACACAAGCAGGCCTTTGCCAAACCCAAAGGCCCCGCTGGTAAGAGGGGCGGCCGCCGCATCACCAGACCACCCGCCGAGGGAGAGGAGGAGGATTGAACAGACCTCAGCACTTGACCACCACCTCCATGCCCAGCACGTTCCACAGTGGAACATTCCTGCGATGGGGGGAAATCATATTTGACACGCTTTGTTTAAAAGAATAAGACGACAACCTCAAATTCCCACAGAGTTCACCCAGAGACCCAACTATGCACGCCAAGGACAACTGAGCAATGACACACTTCAGAATTTCCATTTGTAGCTTGCCAAATGGAAGCGTATTTATGTATGTTAGTATATTCACAAAAGTTACTTGAGAGTGATTCAAAGAGGCCCAAACAAAGTCGAGGTATTTCCAGTGTTGCCAGCTCTGAGACTTGTTAGTGCGACTAATGTGAACTTGCGCCAATACGATAAAAAAAATTCCCCCATTTTGAGTTCACATGCTCGAATTCTTAACTTGCATTCCTTAAGTCTGTGTCAATTAATGTTTCTGTGTCTAATGTGTTGAACATTCGTCTCCTACTGTTTGCACAATGAGGTGCTCCAAAGCAGAAAAGATTCTAATTATCCCACTTGTGTCTATTGATTCATTTTAACAGTGCATTTTATATTGGAAAATTGACTTCTTTTTTGATATAACTGTGGTTTACATGAAAAAAAAATCATCTGCTGAGAAACTTATTTTTCTATGCAAGTGCTGTAAATGTACATATTGTAGCTGTGTGATGCTCTATGATTAAGAAACAGTCTGGTCTATTCTGGTGATTGTCTGTGTTGGTGAGGATCACAGTGGAAAGTACTGGGGCTTCCAGAAATATTACATCAATACATCTCAGATTTCACAAGAGGAAGCTACTCAAACCTTGCTGGCTCCCATATAAGAGGGAACGCTAAGCTACCGGATAGGAAAGGGAATACTATAAGTACCTTGATCAAAGTGTTGCCACATCCACTGGTCTACTGATTAATATTAGGCAAACTACTAAGCTCACCTCATGTTTGAAGGGAAAGTCCCTTTATCTTCATACAGTGTCATTATAATAGAAGAAAATCATGTTTGGTCTTATTTGTTTTCTTACAAATCTTTCTTTTCAGAAGAAAAATAAAATATTTAAATCACATGCTTTCATTTTATTCCTTCAGCCGTCATCACAATAAATAAAACAACAGTTGTCAGCATATAAACCATCAAATCTGACAGAACAAAGTCACAATCTGCAGCGTACTGCAGTATTTTTGTAACAATTACAAAACTAAGCTACGTCTCTCTTTTCAAAAATACAGTAAACTGGAAGTTTTTATTAAAGATTCTGATGTAAAAAAAATTCTTGGTTCGCCACAGTCGTCAAGAAACATTCATTTATATAAAAACTGCAGCGAAGGAAATACATTTGTCAGTCTGCACGGTGGCTAAAGAAGGCTGAGAAATCCCTGAGACGCTCCGCTTCACTCACACGTCTGACTCCAGTGAAACGCTTTTGACAACTCCACGAATCTCCGAAAGAACCTGTGAAAACAGACGGCAGTCTTTATCACAGAACTACACAGTCCTACAAGTGATGCATGAACTTCGGATTTTCATCTGTGTTTTGGAGAGTAAAAGCTTTGATGACATCTAATTAAGCGGACATCACATCCCATGCTACACTTAAGTAAAATTCTTTCCAAATTATGTGTGCCAAACTTTAAGAATTCAATTTATCAACACCTAATTCAGCAACAAGACAAACAGATTTTTGTAAGAAACCGTTTTTGCTTTACCCTTGAATCCATTACCAAAGTACAGCCTCAGATATACTATTACTTTGTTAAACTAATTATTCCTCTGCTGTTTTCTAACACTATTAAATGACTGAGGAGCCAATGTGTTGCACTGGATGACTTTATTCTTTATTAGTTTATTTTAGTTCAGTCTTTTACACACTATTCTGCTGCTATAAAGTTCAGTGACACATGCAGCTGAAAATAGTGTGTAAAACAAGCATATTATTTATTCCTGTCTGAGTAATGTTTGCTGGGAATTAATGAGCCATTCATTAAAAGGAAACTATCTTTGTGCTTCGTGTAATTTACATCTTGAGTACAACAAACTGAGCGTGTGGCTGAGTATTGAGACGACTTAAGACGACATTGTTGGTTTTGTTTTCCCTAGATGTGCTGTAACGTCCTTCAACTTACTAATCAGTGATCCTGAAGCTCAAAATACAAGTACAAGGCGACATGCAGAAAGTAGTGCAGATGCCAGGACAGCAGTTTGACCCGTACACTTACAATATCTGCCAGGATATTTCTTTCCTCACTGTACCTGCTTCATGACTGGCCGTCTGTTTTTCCTATCGTGCAGGCAGTTGCAGGCCAAAGAGTAGATATTCGTCGCGTGGCTCAGGTGCCAGCCTCTCATCTTTTTGTCCATAAAGTCCTCCAGAGTCAGCGCTTCATCTTCATCATCTATGTCATACCTGACATCCATCTTGAAGAGTGACGGAGGGAGACAACATAGTTAGCATTGCGGCTTTCATCACGCTGCAGGGATTTTCCATTGGCCATACGCTCCAAGAAATGGATCCGAGTGTTAAACAGCAGTCTGGATTGCTCAGCATGTCATCGGCAGAGATTAAACTCAGGTTCAAATCCCTTGCAGCTACTCTATTAACCAATACGTGTTACATATTGAATACAAAGTCTGTATGAGGCTGTATAATCGCAAACTGTTGCTTGACAGGTACACAGTGAAGGCCTCTTTTGTGCAGCTTACCAAGAACTGTGGCTCCCGGTTTTCATCAGATGGCGGCAGTCCAGACAATATTTCTAACAACACCTGTAGACGGTGGAGAGATGGGGTTAATCACATGGCTCTGGGCATCAGGGAACCTTTATTACGTCTCCATGCGCCAGGTAGCTTCACTGACACTGTAATGGTTCCCACAGCTGTCCAAATAAGACCCACTGAATGTGCTGTGTATAGTGAACTGTACGGAAGGAAATAAGTCAATAAATCATTCATCCAATGGATCATATGTTTTCCATTTAGCTGCTAATACAGTACAGCTATGCTAAAAAAAAAAACCGTTGTTTCGGTTTTTTTTAGTGGGAAATAATGTAAGACGATACACAACACACAGCTCTGTTTTCACAAATGGGAAGAAATGTATACTATAATGTTTGCGTCCTGCAGTTATGTGTGTGTCAGTAGTTTGGGAGAACCTTGCACTCAAGCAAACTGCTGAGTGGTCTTCTGTGTTTTCCATTAGGGCTGCAGTTTCTCTATTCCTGACATTACGTATGCAAGTGTGTCTGCAGAAAGCCTACCACTCCGAAGCTGAAGACGTCAGATTTTGGTGTGATCTCTCCTCTTAGTGCCTCAGGTGCCATGTAAGCACAAGTACCCACAACCCTTTCCGTCATCATAGTTGTTGACGTCTGATTGGCCGATGCTCTCGTAAGCCCGAAGTCTGAGATTTTTGCCACGAGGTTTTCATCTAACAGGATGTTTGCACTAAAAACAAAAAAAAAGAGTGACAATAAGCAGTTGAACATCAAACATATGTGACTTGAAACATCCCATTTTTCTGCTCATGTTGAAAGAATGATTAAATGTGCTTATTGGATTTCTTGCTGAGAGGTACATGAAATGATCAACACCACTTTCATGTCTGTCTGTTAAATCTCTGAGTCCCCAAACACCTGCTAGTGGGTCTGAAAGGCAAGTTATCTTTAAAACAAATCTCTGTGAACATATTGTGCCTGGTTCTATCTCAATCTAGGTTTGAAAATCTGATATTTCATTAAAATCTCTTTATTCTAGATGCCTCAATAATAAAATTAGCCAAAACTTTAGCATTTATAAAGAATTCTGTGCTTCTCGGCACAACTAAGAGCCCATAACTGATTTATTCTCGTAGATTAATTGTGGCAACTGGACTTGCTTGAGTTCCTTGAAGACATTTCATCTCTCATCCAAGAGGTTTCATCAGTTCTAACTGACGAGTTGGGAGTTCCAGATATTTATATTCTTTAGGATCCATTAACACCTGAGTTTCGGTTTCAACTGGGGGTTTGCTGCTCCTCCCCCTCATTATGTGAGTTGTTAGTGCTCCCCCTGCCACAATGGGGTTCGTTAGGGTCTTTTGTGGCTAGGTGTGAATGTGGTTTCATGTTCCTGGGGAGAGGTCTTAGGACTGAATTGTAAACCGGTGAGAGATGATGCCTCAGACCTCCACCTCTGTTGCGGGATGGTCTTTCCAGTTGGACATAGATGCTTCTTTCACCCCTCACTCAAACCATCTGTCCTCCTGTCCAAAATCTGTACGTTGTTGTCTTCAAATGAGTCTCCTTTGTCCTTCAGGTGCAGGTGGACTGCTGAGTCCTGTCCTGAGGAGCTGCTCTTCTGTGTTGTGCCATGTGCTTGTGAAGCGGTTGTTTTGTCTCCCTGATGTACGGGTCTGGGCATTCCTCGCTGCACTGGACTGCGTACACCACGCTGCTCTGTTTATGTCTCGGTGTCTTGTCCTTAGGGTGGACCAGCTTCTGTCTCAGGGTGTTGGTGGGCTTGACGTGCACCGGGATGTTGTGTTTGTTAAAGATTCTCCTGAGCTTTTCAGAAACTCCTGCAACATATGGGATGACTATGTTGTTTTGTTTCTTGGTCTTTTCTTCTCTGTCTCCTCTGGGTTTTGTAGAGGATTTGATGAAAGACCAGCTTGGGTAGCCACAGGTTTTGAGTGCTGTTTTGATTTGCTTTTGTCCCTCCTCCTTTCCTGCTGTCCTGGTTGGCACGTTCTGGGCCCGGTGTTGTAGGGTTCTCATTACTCCCAGCTTGTGTTCTGGAACTCCCCACTAGTCAGTTAGAACTGATGAAGCCTCTTGGATGAGAGGTGAAATGTCTTCAAGGAACTCAAGCAAGTCCAGTTGCTACGATTAATCTACGAGAATAACCATGACCTGGATGACTGAGAATCTTCACAGACATGACTGATTTATGTATGACCAACAGTCACATGACAGAACTTTAAAAAGTTTCCGACTGAACTGAAGGCTGTGTTCATGCAGAGCAGAGAGGAGAAGGCAAGAGAGACTGAGGGGAAACAAAAACATACATGATCCCTGAATGAAAGCAGCATGTTTTTAAAAAAAAGATGCTATATAGACGAACAAGTTGTCTGCAAGTTGTTGGGTGATACATTCAAATATCTTTCTAGGGTTGATGTGCAGTGGTGCAAAAAACACAGTTTGTAGAGGTTGTAAAAATGTAAAAAGTCACTGTAAATATCTGCAGCATGTGAAGCCAACATTTTTACCACAGCACTTGAAAAAATGTTGTACATGTCGATTTCAGGTTTTTTCCAATTATTGCAAAATAAATAATAAAATGAATTAATTTCAATGATATACAGCATTATACCTGTGTCATTCTGCACAGAACATATGTTTGAGTTCTCTCTATCTGTAACCATGTTTGTGTTGTTTCCATAGAGGTGCAGGACTTCACACTGCAGTGAAAAATAAGGCCACAGTGAGTGAAAATGTGGCAGAATCAAAAAAACATGAAACTAAAAGAGGTAGTGGGTTAGCTTAGCTTCACACATTAACAGGAAATGTTGAGAAACAGGAAGTCTGGCTGCACCCAAAGGTAACAAAACCCTTCTCATAGCACCTCCGAGGTTCACTGATCAATACATGACACTTGCCCTGGTTGGTTGAATGCTTAAAAAACCCAAGCTGTGAAACCACATGCTAACAATTCTGCCTATTAGCCTCTCTAAAGCTGACTAAATTCACACACTATATCTCATTTGCTTAATCTGTAAAATAGCAGAACTATAAACCAACAATGAACCTGTTTATAATATTAATGCTGAGCTAAGTTACTAGCTGCTGGCTGAGGTTTCATGTTTAAAAGATCTAAGAGCGGCATCGTTTTTCTCATGTAAGTCTCAGCAAGAAAGGGAAAAAGCAAATTTCTTTAAAACAAGATAATTTAAAGGTCACTAATAATGCAGAAGGACGTCACTCTATGTACCTTTTAACATCTCTGTGGATGTGATGGTTGCAGTGCAGATACTCCAAACCTCTCGCTGCCCCTTCTGCTATCAAGCATCTCTGTTGCCAGGACAGCGGAGGACTTCCTTCCTATATGGAGAAAAAACCATACAATCCTCTGTGTGAAAGCTCAGGTACTAGAAGTCAGTCTGTGTAGAGCAGTGAACGATGCTTACCAAACAAGCGAGTCGGTCCAACACAGAGCCGTTGGCCATGAAGGCGTACACTAAACACAGTTGCTGTTCATCAGTGGAAAATCCCACCATGTCAACCAAGTTCTCGTGTTTCAACCTGCGGAATAAACAGTGTTATCAAGCCAGAGCTGCACTTGCAAGTATGAATGAATGCACCAACGTAGATTACGCTTATTCACCGTCTTGCTGAGGGTTTGATGTTTGAAACTTACACTGTGAGAGTCTGGATCTCTTGGTAGAACTGAACTTGCAGCGTGTCCATCGGCATGTCATCCATCTGAATGAGATCATATTTTGTGTTGTGAAATACTTTGTTTTTCTGTGATATATACTGTTATGTGAAAAAATATGGGATTTTTATTTTATTTTTTTTAATCAGATGCCTTGAATAACTCTATTTGGAAATAATTAATCATTTTAGAATGACTGGGGTGATTTTGTTTGGGAGTGGGTCTGCATCAGAAATAAAAAATAAAAAATCAAAACAAAGAACAAAAAACTTAAAAAAACACCTTTTTATTGAAAAGACTTTTATTGAGTGTAACCTGATTGGAACCTTTCTCAGTTGGTGCAACACTGGCAAAGACATCCAAATTTCTTTTTCGTTTTGGATGACATTTAAATTAGGCTTTGCACTCATCATACAAACCCTTGTGGTGCTAATTTAAACAACTGTTGCTTCGTGTAGTTTCAAAAATTGCAAGACACGGGCAACAGAGCACCTGTTTGAGGTCAACATCATCCTTTCTGTAGCCAAATGTTTCCACACAACTGAAGCTGTGTTTCTCTTTTTCCAAGCAAATCCTCCATTTCAGTGTTTCTATCTTGTTCTTCTTTCATTTTGCTGTGCACATGTGGGTCCTGTATGTCTCGAAATTCTTTGACTTGTAAATAAAGTTAAAAAAAATAAATGCAAGAGCTTTTTAATCTGAGTAAATTACGTTCTGTCAGACAGACCTCTCTTGTAGATTAGTCGTAGAAAATGAGAACCAAGCAGTTTTCTTGCACATGCGCACATCTAAATGTCAGTGTAGAAACGATATATTGTGTAGCCCTGAAAAGATTAACAACAGCCTGTGCTTGGTGGGATAATATTTTCACTCACTGGATTGAGTTTCTTCACTGCGACGGGTCTGTTGTCCAGGAAACCCTTGTACACCGTCCCAAAGCCTCCCTCTCCCAGTCGGCTGCCACCGTTCGACGTGGAGCGGTCATCGAAGTCTCCGGTGATCCTCTTCAGCTCGCTGTACAAGAAACTGGTCAACTCTAACTCTAATGTAGAAACACACAGAGAAGTGGGTGAGATCCCAGTGCTGTCCCCTGCTGGTCAATTACTCAAAATCACAAGTTTTCCAAGCTGCAGCATCAGTTCCACTTCTGCTTGTGGTAACAAAACATCACCATTGTTAGTGACATTACGCTGTCATGAAACTGCCCTACGTAGTGTTGTGATGTTACTAAATGCATTCATTCAAGCAATATATACAAATACAATTATGAGGGACTTCATGTTACTTTATAACTCTACATACTAGACATATTAGTTTATGGTACATTGCTACAGATTAAACTTCCCAACATTTGGTAAAGCTTCTAAAATTAAGTGTTGCTCAAAAATAAAAGCAATCGGGGTAATAATTATGCAAATTATGTTACTAGTAATACTTAGTTTGAGTTTTATCAATCCAAATGTGCAACTTTATCCCACAAAGACATTTCACTTCGTGTAAAAACTTGCAAAGAAGACTATAATATCTGAAGTCGAGTGTTTCAGCATCTAACTACACTTTGTCAGTAGCACATACTCAAAGAAGACACATGACTATGATGGCTAACATGTCTCATAGAAGTCAATCAAATTACAATGTGGATTAACTGACCACCTGTGTGTCCTGGTTCAGTGTCCTCCTGCGGTATCTGAGGCTGCAGATTACAGCTGACAGGTGGCGGCGGTGGTGGCGGCGGCAGCTCTCTCTCCTCCAGCAGTCTGGTCGGAAGGGCGCTGTGTGTTTCTGCTGAGGAGATCTGCAGCGTTTCTGGTGACGTGACCTCCTCCACTGTGGTGTCTGGACAAAAGGACAAAAAGAATATCGGAACAAGTCTTTTTTGCTGGTGCTGGTTATGGTTTGCTAGTCAAAAGTGCAGGCTTTGATCTTTAGAGATGACTGTTATTACTGTCTGATGAAAAGGATTCTTTGTTATTGCTAGTTTTGCTCCTTGCTTTCCAGGAATTACTTGACCTTTACTGTAGCACAGGTTTTGTTGTATTCTGCCTGCCCAGGAAGTGCACACGGAAGGTCGTCTGTCTGTTATACAGCTTCAAAAATCTTTGTGTCAGACATATTTTCTGACATAATAAACAAGGGACACTGTAAAACTATTTTGATCAAATAATGTAGGTGTTAGTAAAGTTTGAAGAATTTGAAGATGCTGTCAAATATTACTGTGTTTTATGAACAGGGATCTCAAGAGTTTATTTTCTTGCCTCAGACATACATGATGGACTTATTATCAATAAAAGGAGAAGCTGAAGACAAGAGCAATATAAGTTAAAATCTGTCTTTCACCTGTAGGCAGCTTATTTGGTTCATTACTAGTTATTAATTTGGGGTATTGTGTTATAGGACTTTATGGGTGAACTTTTGTTCCTCACCAGCAGCTGCATCTCTTCTCCTGGACTATTTAAAGAGAGGGTTACCCAAAACTCTACGGAATAAAATCATTACAAACAAGATAAACGTTGGCAGCCTGGGCTGGTTTGTGATATTTTTGTCACAGGGTACCGCTTAACATAAGACTGATTTCAAGACACAAAGTCTGATCAACACTGGTCAGGCTGCCTGCTCTCACTGATATTAATTTGGAACATGGGCTCGGTACAGACAGAAAGTGGGACGACATTACTTTGCAGGGAGCACAGTGTCTCACATTCTATATTCACTGTGCGCTGAAATGACTTGAAGATGGTGCAATTAAGAGGTTCATCTCTAACAAACTGTGCGCTGGTCTAAGCCCCCAGTGTTTCTAGATCCTAACAACGCTTCTGCAGAATGTGATTATTATTAGTTTAATGGCTTTTAAAGACATACTAGGCAGCAGAAGATCAGCAGCAGCCAGCAACTTGTTACTCTTCAAAATGTCCACAAGTTCGCCCACTGTGCTGTTGCTGGTGCCCCAGTCATTGAGCAGCTCCACCGTGGGACTCCGGCCCTGTGCGACGAGACCCTCAAACCTCCTGGAAACAGACAGAAGACACAGACTGTTATAGTTAAAACAGATGAGCTTGTGATTGTACTTTAAGAGCAACTGATACATGAATACAATCAATCAATCAAGTGTCATGCCATTCAGCGAAGGCGATCATTTCTCTCCATCTAATCCGATCTTTTGCTTTCTGAATTGTGACTGTTGCCTGCTCCATGATGTCAGTCCGTCTATCATTTTCATCCTCTGTCTGCCTTGTCCTCTCTTCCCATTCATTTTTTCTGTTATGACAATATATTCCAGGGTCTCCTTCCTTATGGTGTGTCCAAAAAATGTTGCTTGCCGTTTCCTAATTTTGTTCAACAGCGTATAATTTGTGTTTAGTAATTGTAAAACATCTTCATTGCTTATTCTGTCCTTATAAGATGTACGTAGCATGCAAAACCACATCTCCGCTGCAGTGATTTTGTTTGACATTTTTATTATTTATGTTCCAAGATTCACATCCGTACATCAGAACTGGTAGAATGTGACAGCTGAGCGTTCTCATACGGTGCTCATTTTCTTATGTGTCAGTATATTTTTCATTTTCATAAATGCTGGTAGTAGTACATAAATACAGATGACTCCAAAAGGTGTGGTAGGTGTATAGTAATGGAAATATATGAAAGAAGTTATTGGAACAATGTAAGTGATGCCTCTAAAGAAGAACCACAACATTCCCAAAGATCAAACAGCAGTCTTTCTGGAGTTTATTTCTTGAATTTATTTGCTATAAAAACCACCATAAAGAGAATTATAATTGGATGATTGAAGCCTGATGACGCTTTAAAATACTGGGTCAAAGGGTGTAATGATAAGTGCCAACAAATAGGATTTATTAATAGTATTGTTGCTGTTGTGAACCGTATGAGATGGAGTGCCTCACAAATGTATTAAGACTCCAAAAGCACAAATGAATGAAGAGGTGGACATGAAACTGCACAGATGTCAAGGCAGCTAGCTAGCTAGCTAGCTACATAGATATAGAGTTGTAGTTTAACTCAGTAAATAGAGAAGACATTCGGCTTTGTGTCCCTGTCTTACCTGACATGGTGTTGAGAGTACCTGGGCTCTCCATTCCTTTTCCGTATGGACACTATGACCTCTTTCCAGGTGTCCTGAGGATCTAAAAAATCCGACAACTGGCGACGCAGACGATAACTGATGTTACGAATATAAGTAGCGGAAGTTAATGATTTATCCATCCTGCGAGATATCCTGACAAAATCTACGTTTGGCCTCTATCTGACCGTCATGATGACACGGTGTTGCTAATTATTCACCTACGGACACACTCTGAAAAAGCAGAACAACAGCAATCTCATATTTTGCTCGCAGTTTTGGTAAAATTTCCGATATTGAGCAACTTCCCCTTAACGTAACACAGAGGACAGTCTCCACCTACGACACGGAAATAAAGAGCATGAGAGGGGACAGGAGCGAAACTAACATTTAAAGGTTTTAATGAGACACAACAGGACCAGAGGGTTTACTATGAAGCAATAAGTTAATACGTTATAGAGGTTTGTCCTGGTTGTGTCCATTTGTTTGACAGTTCAGCTCAGAAAGACAGACAAGCAGAGATCCAGTGGTTGTTTCACGTTCACTGTGTCACAGTGACCTCTAGTGGACAACTAACAAACTGACTTTTACCTGTTACTTCCTCCAGGCATGAGGACAAGGTCAGCATTTATTTAACCCTTATCCACTTAAAAGTTTCAAAGTTCTTTGTGTTTTAGACTTGTATTTTACTTTAATTTCAACATTTTATCTATTGCAACGCAGAGTCTAGACTTTTTACCACTTTTATTATTACTGTTATTATTATTATAATAAGTATTTATCATTTAACATGTATTATTATTACTACTACTATTATGATTATTATGATTATTATTAAGTACTAGTATTATCAAGGCTTTAATCCTCTAATTATAATACACTTTGTGGTTGCCCCGAATGGTATTTGTTGCAAAAAAAAAAAAAAAGGAATGTATTAAAATACATGCACCCATAAAGAATGCCATCCATCTTTGGAAATGTCATGGTTCTTCTATAGGAGCAGTCTATTAAGTCCATAAAAAGCAGTATTTTAAACAGCACTGTCCATGCAGTTAATGTATTAAATGCTTTACAGGAGAAAAACAACTTTAAGGCTGCATGAAACAAACACCCTCATTAAATCTAGATTGTGTCAAATCCCAATAGCAATTTGGCAAACAAATGGAGGCATTTTGTTCTCAAGTGCTCAGGATGCCTTTTTTTGTTCCTCTGTGTGTACTAGCAGCACTCGATCTGTTTATGGTGTCCTAGTTGCTATTTACACTGTGTTTGTTGAATTGTGATCAGTTCCATGTGGACTGGACGGCCCGGCTGTCTCGCTGGATGGGTGGGGTGATGAGTTGTGAGGTGTGCGTGTGACAAATATTGGACTTTAAAACTAAAAACACATGAAACAAGATTAAGAGTTGTTTGCATGCCAGCATGCTCACGCCATTGCAGTTACAATGCTAATATGAATATACCAAATCAAATTTCATGGAAATCCAACCATGAGTTGAGATGTTTTGTGTTTGAATCAAAATAGTGAAGCAACCATCCATTGAGCCATGATGCTAAGGTTGCTAAAGTTGTTGTGCTCAAACCAAACAGAATTAAAAAAAAAAATAAAAAAATGAAGTCCAGATTCCCAAAGCTATTATGCTATTAAGTTCTGTGTAATGTACCCACCTATGTATACTTACAATATTTTATGTTATCGAGGTTTTGTTTATGCAGGTGGAATGCAAATACAATAAAAACGTCAAGTTAACAAAATAAAACTTAAATAACTGACATCCTATAGTCATCTGGATGCTATGTGAAGTAACACATACAGAGAATTTTAAGAATAAATTTTAAAAAAGCAAACAAAAAAAAAAACAGTCTCTTTTAAAAAAATACTGTTTGTAAGTGAAATTCTTGTTTAGAGGGAAGTTTGTGGAAACACTGACCCAAAGCATATGGCCGTCGCTAATGCAGCAGCAACAGGCCGCACCCACAACACACGCAGAAACAAATCCTTTTATTGCCACATTTGATTTAGATGAGTGCCGATGATGACAAGCGACTTTTACACGATTTTTCACAGCTGAGCATAATTTCGTTTTATCCTCACGCAAACAATATACATGAAATGATCTGAGCCTAGAGACGCAACTGTCACGTGTGGGCCTGTTTATTATATTTTTAGGCTGGGGTGATGACACCAAAAATGATAGTCTTCATAATAAAAGCTCATTAGTGGGTCGTAAACTAAACGGGACTACTTTTTTCTTTAATGTATTTTTTTATATCTTCTGACAGTGCCTGCACATGGTCTGAATTACACGAAAAGGAGACTTTACCACATGTGTAAGCAAACTGCAATTAAGTTATTTTGTAAGGAAAGCCTAATGAGAGCCATTACTGCAATTATGGTGGCCAAGAGTGTGTAGTCCCCTTTTCCCTGTCGGATACCAGCTTTCACAAACACATAATTCTGAATTTATGACTTTAATGGGACCTTGTCAGTGGTTGTTTGTCTTGAAACATGTCTTTTGTTGTTTTCTGTGTGTTTGCAAATGCATTTAAGTACCTGCCTGTGACTTCATGAGAGCAACTGTGTGTGGTTGTTGAGTAATGAAGTGTATCTGTCTCTTCTTCTATGTATGCATCTGTGTGCTACATTTAGGTGTAACCACAAGCCAGAAGCGGGGTCAGCAATTATGTGTAATATTTGTAATGTAAGGATATTTCTTAGTGCCCTAGGGGCCGGCAGAGCAGCTTCATGTTCGACAGACACCTGTGATCTCAAGCTCATATTAATGCCATGTGTGTGTCATTGTGTTGCTGGTGTGGGATAGCCCTGACACCTGTGCTCAGGAGATTCTTTGAAGTGCTTCACTGTCTCCTGCACGCCTCCTTTAGCCTTAGAGGCAGGATCCCAACATGACACTTCACATGCAAAGACTTAGAGCGAAGCCAGACCCTGGGCTCTCCTGTGGTGAGCTGAGGGATGGACTGAGCTGATGTGGTAGCTGGATGGAGGGAGGAAGGAGAGAGTCTGTGGGACAAGTGAGAGGGGAATGTGAGAGAAAGCCTGACAGGAAACCCCTCTTTAGAACACTGATTATATAGGAAATATAAACATCGTTGCCCATAAAGTTGGAATAATTTTTGTTTTCAGACACATTCCTCTTTTTATTTCTATTTATACAGATCAGTAATCACTTCTGACCAGGTGCAATGATTACATCCTGAGTCCCAGTTCCCAGGTGAGACAAATTCTGACTTTGGGATCTGACTGAAGAGTGGGACGTCCCGCCCATTGACACCATCAACAAGGTGGTGGACAGTATGCCACAATGTCTTAATGCATTGATGGCCAGACTCAATATTAGTGACTGAGTGGCATTTGAAAGAGTTATATTGGACATTCTAATGCATGATATCCCTTTGAATATGTGCTTCCTGTTAAATTAGGCAAAAAGGAAATGAGGCAGATAGGAGGATCCGAAGTGAAGGAAGTGAAGATGGGAGAGCAGAAAGCAAAGTCCCCTGTAGGTAGAAGTGCCAGAGGGGCTTACATCAGTGGCCAGAAACTCTGCAGGTGGAAGAAGTGACCAGAGGAAATCATATGACGTTTAGGGAAAGTTCATGATAAACAAGGACAGACGAGACGAGAGGTGGTACCACACCCAGCTGACGAGATAGGGAGGCTGCTATCCCTCATCTGTTATCATTACCTTTGTGTCACAGAGTCAAATACATTATTATACACAGCCTTGGTGAAGGCAGAATTTATTGTAGGACTGCTGTATTACACTACATTAGTTTACATTTGGTCTGACTAGCAACACATTTAATCCTTACTACACATAATATAGAGTGAGTTGAGGGATATGTTTGATACTGCTGAATGAAATACTTTATTTATTTTTTAATTATTATTATTATTTCGCAGCAGACAAGATATTTTTTCCCGTGTCTTTGAGGATTTTGGAAATACCCTAAATCTGTGGCTAGAACAGGTTTTTGGAAAATTTCCAGGAATTTATCTCACAAAACAACAGATGTGTTGATTTCAGTAAGTCCCATCAAGATTGCATTTCTAGGGGCGATCTGAGCACAAGTAAAAACAATAAAACACATTAAAAAAGAGAAAAAGGGCAAAAAAACAAAAAACATGTCACAACATCACCGTGGCTGGAATGTAATGATAGTGTACATGAGAGTCACAGGAGGCTGCAAAATTGTTCTATCAAAAGTGGAATTTGTGTACATCATTGTCTCTGCTCTGCACTAACCACACTTCAGGCTTGAGTAATTAGATGCACACCTAAAACAAGACGGTAGACACCCTCTGGCCCTTTGATGTGCGTCTGCATGCGCTGCTGGGAGTAATGACTGACTTCAGACAGGTGCTTTCAACTCATTAGGTGTAAACAGGCAGATTCATGCTCGCAAATCAACACCCAAGACACAACGTGTACAGTCGCTGTGATTAATTAGCAGTCTTGTCGTGGAGTGTAACAGTTCACCCAGCTCATCAGAGGTCTCTTCCATGTTGGAATTCAAATGAGCCAAATGAATGGGAGGACCCGCTTGGGGAGACACAGAGGAGCAACAGGGGGTATGGGCACAGCATCGGGTTCCAATAGAAGAGCTTCAATGTATGTCTGTATGTCCACGGCCTGCGCATACACGGCTTTTAGCAGTGTGCCACTGATGGACATTGAAAGCTCGCTGCAGGGAGTCTCCTCTCAAACTGGAACACTGTGGATCTACTTCAGTGTGTTTTTTAAAGGAAAACCCCAGGGAGTGAACAGCATTTTAATAGCCTTTGTATTGGACCATGTTTTATTGCTATGATTTTTGCATGTTTATAGCAGTAATATAATTCAAGAGCCCCGTCACTCAAATCAGAGCACATGAGGATGCTGTAATTACCGATTAGACACATAGAGGGCAGCGGTGGCCTGCAATTACTCATAATTGACAAACATGGTCAAGATTAACACATGCCTAAACATGCAGAAAACTGGATATGGATCAAACATGAACTCACATGAAAAGGAAACTCTCACAACACAAGAAAACTAATGCAATTTTCTGCAGAGCTTGTGACTGAGGACCTGATAATTTAAAGCATTGTGACTCCAGTCAACCAGAAATTAAGGTCATTTTTGTGGACGGTAGGCTGTGAGTTTCTCCTCATTTCAGTTCTATGGGTCACAGCACATCCAGTAAAATAGCAGCTGTTTCCTGGACCGACAAAGCACACACACACACACACACAGACGTGCAAACACACA